TTTACTGAATAGCCGTGATGGATATTCAAAGGATCCATCCTCTATTATCTTCCTCTTCTTTTCCATCGTTCTTTCTTTTCATTTGTTTATATATATATATATATATATAAACTCCCCTTTTTCTTTCGCCTCTTATTTTTTCACCCTTTTTTTCGTTTTTTTTTCAACTTTTTTTTCAACTTTTCTTTTTTCTGTTGTTTCTTCCTTTTCTTTTCCATCATTCTTTCTTTTATTCGCTCTTTTTTTTTTTTTTTTTTTTTTAATATATAACCTCTCCTTTTTTCTTTAGCCCCTGCTCGTTCTCTTCACCCGTTCTTTTTTCTTCACCCGTTCTTTTTTTTCCACCTGTTCTTTTTTCTTTACCCGTTTGTTTTTCTTCACCGCTCTTTTTACTCCACTCCATTCTTTTTTTTCCACCCGTTCTTTTTTCTCACCCGTTCTTTTTCTTCTCTCCGTTCTTTTTTCTTTATCATTTTCTTTTTATTTCCTGTGTTTTTTCCTTTCTGTTCTTCGTTTTGAATCTAGCTTATTTTTCTTAGTTTCATGCCTTTGTAATTATTCGTCGTTATCAGTGTGATTTTGTGCTTCGTAGTCGTTGCGAGATAAATTTCGTCGTCCTGAAGTCTTTTTCATTCTTCTTTCGTATTGAACTTAACTAACTACTTTTTTTTAGAATTAAGTTCTTTCGTCGTCGTAAGTTGAAATTTGTTGTCTCTAGTGTTTTCTTGTTTTAAACAAATACGTGGAAGTTTAGGCCCGATACGTATCTTCCTCAATGTGATTAATTTATGATCGTAACCTTTTATTACCATTATAGCTCACGAAGTTTAATTGTGTGGCATTCGTAAAAACTTAAAGTGTTGTGTTCAAGTATTACGATTAATTAAATATTAATTGCAATTGAAGCTTGAGCAAACATCTTATCATTATTACTCTTTAGCGATTATTGTTTTTACAAATCGAAATTTAAAAAAATGCAAATGATGGATCAACGAAAGGATAAAGCAATCTACAACACTTCAAATTCTGTTACTTCTTTTTCAGAATTTACTACAATCCAACAGAACACAAAAACGTTCCTTTTATTTGCGACAAAGATTTTAGCTTAAGGTGATAATTCGTCGGCATCAGTAATAAAGATTCATAACGATATAAAAAAGACACATTTTTGTGTTCTGTTGGTTTGTAGTAATTCTGACAAAGAAGAAACAGAATTTGAAAGTGTTGTTGATTAATTTATCCTTTCGTTGATCAATCGTTTTCATTATTATTATTATTATTATTATTTTGAAAAAGTTTAGCCATGGTTCTATTTCAAGTTTTTAAAAATTTTAAAACTTTGAATTAATATATTAAATAAAAAATTTTATTTAACTGGATATTTATTGAGATATCTTCACTCAAAGTTTCAAAAATTTTTAAAACCGTTATCAAATAGTGCTGGAGGTTAAGTTCTTTTAAAACTTTGGGTAAGAGAAAAATTTTTAATAAATCTTAAATAGGTAATTATTAAGACATCTTCGTTTAAAGTTTGAAAAAGCTTTATTACAGATCCTGTTTTAATAGGTTTTTTGAATAAAATTATCTTAACACTTATCTGGATTGATAAATTTTTTTATTATTTCAATTTTATAAAACTGATTAAAATGCAGTACGTATATATATATATATATATATATATATATAGTCAATGTAAGGTATATCTGCCTAAAACTGTACAATCTGTGATAGATATATCTTTATATAATAAAATTTGAAAACACGTTTTTAGATCTTTGCCAATCTACCAACCAACCTTCCTTATCGAAAAAAATGCCTTCTTTTTTTAATCTATCAAGCTTACAACCAATTTTATCCTCCATTATACTATCATTGTAATTACGTTTCTTAGCATTGTTTTGGTTTTGACGATTAAACCATTCACCATCAAAACCGCCAATAAAAAAGTCAGAGGCGATAACACGGTGACAAGGTATAGGTAAAGGTGCAAATGGATTAGCTCGTAAAGCACCGCCCACTGCACGCGGGGATGATTTAAGAGCAGTTGCTAGTAATTTGTAAGTTGATACAAAACCTATTTTAAAGAGATTATATATTTATAATATTGATAACATTTTAGCATAGAATTTATACGATAAATTGAATATGAATATTAACCTTCAGGAATCTATATAAACATAATAAATATGATTAAAATATTTGCAAGAAACATATTAACGCGTTGAGTGTGTCAAACAAACCTGTGCACATAGTTCATAAACCTTATACTGAAATTCTGTTACGATTCTACCAGTTTTAGGATTTATGAACTTTAAACGATCAGAATTGGTACTTGGATAGGTTATTGGAGAAGCGTTTGTTACTTCTAAAGGAAACTCATTATTAGCCGGTTGTAGAAGCAGCGTTGATTTAGTTTCCTCAATGTCTGCATTGTTCGAAATAGAAAGTAGGGTGGACATTGTTGACGTTGATAGAATAAATCGATATGTGAAAATATGAAATACAGTGTGTGAAATGAATCTTCCGCAGTCACGCGTTTTTTGTGTGCAACAATAAAATTTAAGATTTTGAAACAGCGTAACGTTACTCTGGATCAAATGGATCTTCCGCAGTATCGCAACAAGATTTTAAAAAAACAGTAATATTTACTACGGATACAATTTTTTTTCATTAGCAAAAAAAAAATTCAAAATGTCGATACGATGTGTTATGCCGACATTTTATATTAAAATTTTGAAAAATTTTGAGAAAAAATGTCGATAAGAAAGATTTTACTACGATGTCGTTATATCCAGATGTCGGTATAACCAGAGTGAGGTGTATATCCTCTACTCCTCTCCTCACGTAAGAGAAATTTGATTGACCGTTATAAATTTATATATCCAACATAAAATATTAGAGCTACCCTAGCGAAGATTTTTTAATAGATACTTGACCAAATTCGGAAAGATTTTGATTTAGTTTAAAAATCAAGTTAAAATTTTTAAACTTTAAGCGAAAATTTCTTGACAACTAACTATCCAAATTCGATAAAAAATTTTTTTAATTTAATTCAGTAATTATACGAGTTCATAGAATTAAAATAAAAAAATTCCATTAAATTTGGATAGTTGGTTTTCGAAAAATTACTTAAATTTAATCAAAATTTTGACAAACTATATTGTAAAATTACTCTAGAAAACTTTGTTATAGCACCAAAGGTGATTTCGACCATTTGTGAATTTTTGAAATTGGTTTGTTGCGCCACAAAAGTATCACATGACTGCAAAATTTATATATGTTAGAGTGTCCAGGATTATGATCCGGCATAATATCCGCATAATTCACCTTATAGCACATAAAATATGTGATTTC